GATGTCAAGTTCTTTCATGGCCTGATGATTGAGTAACGAAAGGTTGTACATGAGATGAAGACAAACAGTCCTTGGTAAAGTGGAAACAAGCATTAATAAGATCATTAGAACAAAATATAAAGATCAACATAATATCATTTATACCCCATAGTCCAATTTTTTTATTTCCTTCTCTTTGTTTGTCTGAAGACAATCCTTGCTATTGTGAAAACATGCATCGATTAGATCATATGAATAAAAAATAAGATCAACACAAATAATTTAGCCTTTAGATTAAAAAAAATCTCCCACTAGTAAAAAAGTCAGGAGCTTGTTGGCCGAGATGGTTTAATATCTTTAGCTTGATGTTCCTTTTGCACTCTAATAGCTTCAGCTTCATGTTCCTTTTCACCCTAAACATAAAATAAACCATTAACCACAATAATGGTTTCACCATATAAATTACGCTATTAACTAAAAAAATGTTCACTTACATTATGATCAAGACTTGGATCACCAATGGATTATCAAAGACAATGTTCACTCAAAAAAAAAATAATGGAGTTTCACAGTACTCTCGCAAATTCAACAAAATCTAAACCAAACAAACAAATAGTTTTTGTACGAGATGGAGGGAAGGCAAGATGGAGGGAAGGCAAGAGCAGTAACAGTCTTTAGGCGGGAAAGTGAGTGGAGGGAGAGATAAGATTTTTATGATTTGTGGACCTTCGCTTAAAAAATAAAATAATAATATATTGTAATATGTGGGGTGTAAGTGTAATTTAAAATGTGAAGAATTTAGGATTGGTCCAAGAAATGGAAGACCGATCCTGGATAAATATCATCATTTTATCTCTTAACTATCACACTTTTATCCCTTCACTATCACACTTTTATCCCTTAAATAATCAAAAAAATTCTCAAAAATATTCAATTTTTTATAAATAGTCCCATTTTTTATTAAAAAAAATTAAATAATGAATAAAATCAAAAAATTAAAAGATTCATAAATAACGCTTCAAACTATTTGGGTCAAGTTATAATATTTTTGGATTGGGTTCCAATTTTTTTGGGTGACTCCAATTCGCTAGATCAAAAAAATTCTACTATCCAAAAATATTCAATATTTTTAAATAACAACAAATAAATAATGAATAAAATCAAATAAATAAAAGAATTATAAATAATGCTTCCAACTATTTGGTCTGGTTATAACTGATTATAACTTTTTTTGAATTGGTTCCAATTTTTTGGGTGAGTCGGATTAGCTAGATCAAAAAAAAGTCTTAAAATATTCAATATTTTATAAATATTTCCATTTTTTATTAACAACAAATAAATAATGAATAAAATCAAACAATTAAAATAGTTGTAAATAATTCTTCAAACTATTTGGGTCATGTTTATAACATTTTTGGATTGGGTTACAATTTTTTTTGTAGAGGTCGAGGGAAGGTTCCAACTTTTTTGAGGTTCCAACTTGGGGTGGGTTCAAATAGTTGGGGGAGGGTTCCAACCTTTTTCTCTAGGATTCCAACTTTTTGGATACAAGTTCCAACTTTGTTGGTAGAGTTTCAAACTTTTTTGGTAGGATTTCAACTTTTTTTGTTAGGAGTTTTGGGTAGGTTCCAACTTTTTGGCTAGAAGTTCCAAATTTTGAGGTGAGAGTTCCAACTTTTTTTGAGGTTCCAACTCTTTGGTGGGTTCTAATAGTTGGGATGAGTTCTAACAATTGGGGCAGGATTACAACTTTTTTGGGTAGGGTTCCAACTTTTTTTTAGGTAGAGATTCCAAGTCTTTTGGATAGGGGTTCTAACTCTTTCGGCAGGGGTTCCAATTTTTTTGGGTAAGGCTTCCAACTTTTTTGATTAAGGGTTCCAACTTTTTGGGTAAGGGTTTCAACTTTTTTGGGTAGAGGTTACAACTCTTGGGTATGGTTCCAACTTTTTGGGTTGAGGTTCCAAAGTTCCAACTTGTTTGGAGAGGTTCCAATTCTATGGGTGAGTTCTAACAGTTGGGGAGGGTTCCAATTTTTTTGGGTAGGAGTTCCAATTCTTGGGTGATAGGAGTTCTAACTTTTTTGGGGTGAGTTTCAACTTTTTTGGCTAGAATTTCAACTTTTTGGGTAGAGGTTCTAACTCTTGGAGCAGGGGTTCCAACTTTTTTGAATAGGATTCTAACTTTTTTGGTTAGGAGTTCAACTTTTTTAGGTAGATGTTCCAACTTTTTGGGTAAAAGTTTCAACTCCTATAGGAGAGGGTTCCAACTTTTTTAGATGTTCCAACTCAGGTGGGTTCTAACAGTTGGGGGAGGGTTCCAATTTTTTTTGGTAGGGGTTCCAACTTATTTGGATAGAGGTTCCAACTTTTGGGGTAGTGGTTTCAACTTTTTTGGGTAGGGGTTACAATTTTTTCGGTTGGTGTTCTAACTTTTTTGGGTACGGGTTTCAACTTTTTGGGTAGATGTTCCAACTCTTGAGTGGAGGGGTTTCAACTTTTTTTGGGTAGGGGTTATAATTTTTTTGGGTAAGGGTTCCAACATTTTTGGTAGGGGTTTCAAATTTTTTGAGTGGGTTCCAACCTTTTTGGCAGGAGTTCTAACTCTTGAAGGGCAGGTTCCAACTTTTTTTAGATAGGGTCCCAATTCTTGGGAGGATTCCAACTTTTTGGGTTTAACAGTAGGAGGAGGAGTTCAACTTTTTTAGGTAACGGTTACAATTTTTTGGGGTTAAGTTATTTGCCAAGTTCTATTCTTTTCTATTATCGGTTTAGTAGGTAACCGGTATCTCACTTGTCAAACTAATCAATGGCTAAAAAAACAAAAAAATTACATCAATGGACCAAATGAAATGGTGGTAGCATACCAAAAAAAAAAATTTAGTATTATAGTCTGACCCATCTATCTAATTCCATCAACCAAAAGGGATTGCTTGGAAAGTGGATAGATTCAAGTTCGAACTTATTGCATCAGTGGTTTTTAATTTTTTGTGTGTGCTTGAAATAAATATGCAAGTAGATTCTTTCATATATTTGTCAAAAAATATTATTTCTTAATACTACATAACTATTTGCTTCAGGCCTGAAGTTAAGATCTCTTTGCATACTCTTAACGTTGAAAATATATTTAGTCCTACTAAATTAATATAACTATAACAATTCAAACTCAAATATTAAACAAAAAAATCTAAATTTTTATCCACCAGGCCAATTGCATCACTTTAGCAAGTTCCAGGTCAACAATCTGAATATCTGATAGAAAAAGTTAGGGAAACTTTCATCAAAACTCCCTTTAGTTAGGCATAAATTCAAAGACACCCCTTCCCTATTCTGAATCTTCACTACACTTCATTCTGGTTTACACTGTTAAATCAAAGACACCCCTAACCGTAACTGCCCGTTACTAACAATCAGAAAAGTGTTGATGTCATACTAAATTTTTTATGAAATACCCATTTTACCCTTCTTATTCCACATGAAACCCTTGTCTCTTTTTCTCTCTCTCTCTCTCTCACACACATGTCTCCACAACTCAATTACTTAACTGTAAAAAAGTGGCAATGAATCCAAGCCACTAGTCCTAGCATGAACCAGTGAAGAATAATATAAAAAATTTAGTGCTATGAATCGATGACACCATAAAAAAAATAAAAAAATAAAAAAATCGATGACACCGTACGCTTAAACATAATATAAGGAAAAAATTTAAAATAATTTTTAAAAAAAATTTAAAAAAATTAGTAACATCGTACGCTTACACATAATACAAGGAAAAAATTCAAAATAATTTTAAAAAAAAAACGGTAACACTATACGCTTAAACATGATATAAAGAAAAAATTTAAAATAATTTTTTTAGAAATTTAAAAAAAAAAAAAAAAAAACCAGTGACATCATACGCTTAAACATAATATAAGGAAAAAAATTCAAAATAATTTTAAAAAAAAAAGGTGACACCGAATGCTTAAACATAATATAAGGAAAAAAATTCAAAATAATTTTTTTAGAATGTTTTTTTAAAAAAAAACCGGTGATATCGTACGCTTAAACATAATACAAGAAAAAAAAATCAAAATCATTTTTAAAAAAAAATTTTAAAAAAAATCGATGACACCGTACACTTAAACTATATAATATTTATATATAGTTTAATAGTTTTGCACATAACACTTGGAAATAGGAATATATATTTATATATAATTTAATAAAAAATAATTGGTGAATATGTAATTCTTTATAAAATTCATGGGTAAAATGATAAAACGTCTATTTCTGTCACGTCTGTTAGCTGATCAACACTGACAAGGGAGGTCAGCGAAATTTCAGAAAAGGCAAAGGGTGTTATTGAAGATAGACATATTTAGAAGAAGTGTTGATAAAATTTTTCCAAAAAGTGAAAAGTGCACTGCTCCTTGCCTTCAATCTCATGACGGAGAAAAAAAATTTTGGTGTATACCACCGTGGATAATAGCTGTATTGTGTCAAAATGTACTAAATTCATATATAATTTTTTTTATAGTTACATACACTTATATTATGTACCACTTGTTCTTAGTCTATTTTATATTATACGATAAGTCATGTTTAGCCAAATTTTTATTGTATGTAATATTTATAAACAGGAAGAACAGAACAGATCAACACGATGATAATTCAAGACAATTAAAAATACACGCATATGTTTTATAATACACTCCATATTGTCTGAGCAGAAGGAATGCCCAACCACATGAAAGACGTTTGATCGAGGGCTTTGTTGTATAAGCAAGCAAAATTAGGTGAACTATAATTATGTTTCACACACACAGAGATGCACGCACTTACATTGTTTTTGTTTATTGTAGCTTGTGGGTCTCATTTGATTGGATAATATTTTTGCCAAACTAATAAACCTTATTTTGGTTTCAAGAGCTGGATTTGAGACGTAGTCATACCAATGAATTAGATTAAATGATTTTGTAAGGGGAAGACAACCCCCATCATTTTATTCTTACTCACCCATCAGTAGACCCCACAAACAAACCCAAAAAAAAAAAAAGTAAAATACAAAATACAAAATGGGAATGAAAAGAAAAGGAATTGAAATTTACTGTGAAGAAGAGCTGGAAAGTTGAATCAGACAAACAGGGGGAATAAATATAACCAAATCATGGACCCCACCTAAGAACCACACACAACACAAGCATCCTAGGCTACCCAAACTCCAATGATCACAAAACAAAGGAATGATCAACGGTTAAAAACTAAACACAAGAAAACGCCATCAAAGCAAACAAATACACAGCAGAAAATCCGTCGGACAATCCACTCCATTGTTCACAGCTTAATATTCAACTGTTGGCAATTGCTCATGACTCTGGTCGATGAATATGAAGTCGTAGACAAGTCCAGCAAGCCCACCACCAATCAAAGGCCCGGCCCAATAGACCCAATGATTCTCCCAGCTCCAGCTAACCAAAGCGGGCCCAAACGACACGGCTGGGTTCATTGAGGCCCCAGTGAAGGCCCCGCCAGCCAGAATATTAGCACCAACGATGAAACCGATCGCTATTGGTGCTATAGTTCCCAAACTGCCCTTCTTGGGATCCACTGCGGTCGCGTACACCGTATAGACTAGACCAAAGGTCATCACAATCTCAAATACAAATGCGTTCCATACGCTCACCCCAGCAGACAATGAAAAGCCGGCAGTGGTCTGCACAGTAAATTGTTGAAACAATTTTAACGTTAGAAACTCTTAAGGAAATTTAAAAGTAGAATCCTATTTTATAGTTATTTACATTAAATACCCATAATTTTTCTTAAGGACAAAATAGGAATATAAAAATCCTAACTGACTTAATAATTGTTCATTGTCGCATCTAAAATCCTAATTTTTCTGAAATGATTGAGATCTTAGGCACCGTAATAGAAAAAAACCAGTATGTGAAAATCCATGTTGGTGAAAATATTTATAGCAGATTAACAACAATAGACCGAGGATTTAATTGAGACAAAATTAATAGTTAAAGGATTAAATTAAAAATTTATGGACCAAATTAAAACCAAATATAAAGTTTAGGGGCGAACTTTAATTTTTACCCAAATAACTACAATTAAGTAACATTTAGAGCAACGATAAACTCACCAAGCCTCCGGTGGCTAACTCCAGAAGCCAGCAAGCCACAGCTGAACCAAGCAACTGTGCAATCCAGTACAAAACACTACGCAGTAGGCTAATGTTGCCTCCAACAAAGGCACCAAAAGTTACAGCAGGGTTAACGTGCCCGCCGGAGATGTTGGCGGCGACGGAGACCGCCACAAACAGCGCAAAAGCATGAGCTAGCGCGGCGGCGATAAGGCCGGCAGGGGTGGTTGGGCCACCGCCAGTAAGCTTGCTAAAAGCCATGCCGGAACCTTCACCGGCGAACACGAAAATTAGGGTTGAAATGAACTCGGCCAACGCTGCCTTAAGAGTGTCCGGGTGGGTTTCCTCCTCCGGTCTTCCTACGGCGATCGCTCTGATCGGCATGGTTGTAAAGACAAGATCGGCGGTGAGAAATGTTTGAGAGATGTGAAGAGGTAGGGAATCGTGACGGAGACGATGATGGAGTAGTTCAGGCTCTTGGGGTTTCCTTTGAGAAACTATACATATAGGTCTGGTGTCCACATCTCATGCAGTGTACCAACTTATATCAAGTGCCAAGGCTATGCCTACGGGTTTTGGCCGGGTAAAAATTAAGATAAAATAAATATAAATAATTAAATATACGTGACATTAGAAATAAATTTGTAATTTATTAAACATTTAATGAACGACCTGCGGATAATAATATTTTTATGTTCCAAAAATAATTTAAATCTTACGAACGTTATTGATAGTGAAACGAATATATTCATTCGAATAATGCATATCCATATATCACATGATGGGAAAGTATTAACGTGGACAGGTTGTGCATTTATAAAAAATGATTATGCATAGGATTTTATTTTGTTGTTTTATATGTTTTGTTGGGTACCGGTCAGTCATCGTCATTCGTACAGCAAAGGAATTTTAGATAAAGCGTCGGAAGACTGACACGTGTGCAAGAAAGATAAGGGCATGTGATGTGCTTTTTTCATAGTGGATCATTTTGTCTTTTCATGTTTGGTCTCACCAGGAAAGATCGAATAACTTTATGTATTTTTATATTTACCCAAAAAGAAAAACCAATTTTTTTTTTGGTTATTTCATGCAAAATAATCATCTTCTCTCTACTTTGGGGGTCACAGTCGAATTGTGTGTAGTGTCACGTAAGGTCATTGCGAGTTCGTGTCGAACATTAGTTAATCTTAATCCAACTTTTTTAACTAATTATGTCGTATCAAGTTGACTTGTTTATTTTCATGTCGTGTTTATGTTCGTATTCGTAATTACCCACATAAATTTTCAATAAAAAATTTAATTATAATATTCTATTTTCACTCAATTGAATTCATGCTTATTCTTTTTTCTACAAACTAAAAATTAATTTAATAAACATAATAATAATAATAATGAGCAAAAATATCTTTTTTATGCAATAATTATGTCAATGCTTAATAAACTATTACAAATAATTAATATTTTATTTTTATAATACTAATTAAACATGTTGATCGTGTTACTATACAAGTGAGAAAATAGAAAAATTGTCCATTATTAAATAAAAGGGTTGATCGTGTCCATTTTTGGGTTTAACTGATTGAACCCGAAAATGACCTGTTTATATTGTGTATTCGCGTGTCGAATCATTTTAGAGTTCGTGTCAAGTTATAATCGAATTTGTATTATAAAATTCGTGTAAAGTTCGAGTCATGTCACCGTATTAAATTAAAAATTGTGACTTCTATCTTCACTAAGTGCTCCTCAATATCAACACAAGCTCACTAACAGACCTACATGTCTCATCTCTCCTATTTTCTAAAAAATTAAAATTTTTATATTGATGAATTTCTTTTAACACGGAGTTATTGCAAGTATGACTATAAATACCCATCTTTAGCTTCCCCGTCCATTATATTTAATTGTCTCTTGAAAAAATCACTTTTGTCCTTCATATATTTCTAAATAGCCGCTTACAGCTACTTATACTTTTCTCTTTAACCACCTAATTTTTTTGTGTAACCATATTTAACCATTTAGATTTATATCTTTTAATTTCTTTTCTCTTCAACGTTTTCTTCTTTTTCGCCAATAACGAGTATTGTGTGTGCACTATCTCTAATGTCTAAAATTGGGTATGAGGCTATGCATGTATGTAAAACAAGTTCACCAAAATCCAATTCAAGATTAACATTGATAGTATATAGCATTTGCCAAAAAATTATTAGTACTCAAATCGATGTATTGAGGTTTTTCCAACCTAACAATATTCCTCTAATTTTGAATTAAAGATTAAAAAACCTAGATTGAGCACGAGTAATTCTAGGTTAATTCAGCTCTCTCATTGCACACACACATCTTTTAAGTTCTCGGGATGCAACCATTTGTTGACTACACAATCTTCATCTTGTAACTATGTAAACTCTAAAATGATTCGAGTTTTAAAATATGTTCATTGCTTATTTAGACATGATGTTTGGAAATTCGGTTTTGGTGCTTTTACACATTGAGAAAAATTAAAAATTAGTTTAAACTCGTTTCATAAATGTGGTCAATCCTGAATCAAATAGCATCTCTACTTTACCTAAAAGCATCATTCTTGGAATATTTTGACAAAAAATATATAACATTATCTCATAGTCAATAATTGCTGATAGGTCGTGCAGCTCATGGTTTAGTTTAAGAATTAATTTAATTAATAGCTTTCTTTTGATGGTTTGTCCACGTTTAAACGATAAAGGGAATCTTGGATTAGGAGAGCAGGTGTAATACGAAGAATAGGATAAGCATGAACAGATGAACTACTTGTAACATTGAATTCCAATGCATTTTTCATATAGTGATGACTCAGTTGGTGGTTGAATTATAAGTGATCTCATTACATGATCATGGATGCCAAAGAGAATCCGAAAGAAATCTCAAAACCAAAAAAAAAAAAAGAAGAAGAAATATAGATGTAGAAATAGTTTGTTGATGAATATAGGACTAGTATTTTTCAATTTTGTCGATACTAAAACATTTATTATTAAAAACTCAGTACAAATAAGTTTATGTGAATTCGCTTTCGATGATCATGAATGATAGGTATTTAAGATGAAAAATGATACATCTTTTTAATTCTGCATTGTTTGTTTTTACATTGTTAATGTTGAACAGAAAAGGGGAGAAAAGTCTTCTATTATTATTATTTTTTTTTATTGACATACGTGATTTAGGAGCCTATATTTTTATAATGATTTTGATGATCGCCAATTATGATTAAAAAAATCATAAACCTATATACCCTAAACACTTTAGAGTGAGATTAAGGACAGCATTATTGGTGTTAATTGAGGTAATTAAGCAAAAACAACAATGAAAGCAATATGTGTGTATGATTATTCAGTTGATGCTCAAAATTCAATGACACCGACGTTTAATGTTTTGTATATAGGTTCTGGGAGGTTCCTGAATGAGAGTGACCTTGTGGAGATGATTAGGCATTTGCTAGTTGGATGTATATGAAATTAATAGGAGGAACCTAAGGTGATTATTCTGGGTATATTCTCTGCTAAAACTAGGGCCATTACAAATGTTCATTAAACTGTTTATGCAATAGTTAATGACGAGACTGCATTGGAATATTAATAACAATAATAATAGTTTAGGGGTCCCCCCACATTAGGCAGGGGTAAAAAACCTCTGGGCAGTAACATTGTTTGGATAAAACCTCCCAATTGACCTTATATTATTCTTATTATTGGTGGTGTGTTCTGTGTGGTTAAACAGAGGTGAACAATTTGGGAATTTTGTTAAGGACGTTGATGGAGTTTATTGAGATATCTAATTAGAGCTAATAGGCTCTTGGGAATTGAACAATCGATTAATGATTTAAAAGCTACGAACAGAGATCAGTAAATTGGAAATTTATAGTGGTTTTCGAGGTTGAAAATTTGGTTAATCCACTTTAATAGAATCTCTTGCTCCTGGGAGATTGTTCTATTACTTGGAGAAGAAGGTTATATGAATGCATATATATTTTAGTATAGATGTTTTATCCCTATTTATAGTATACAATTGTCTTGCATAATCTTTACGATCCTTCCGTAATTAACTCGATTCTTGCATAATCAACATGATTTCCTTTGAAGTTGTTATGACCCATCTAGTGATATATTTGGTCGTTAAAGGCTATTTTCTCTAAGCGTGGTGTGGTCTTCTGAAAAGTATGAACTATTATTATCGTTGTGTGCACGAGGAATACGTTAGTAATAATTGTTGACTTATGCCTCCTGAGCTAACGATTATTAGCTAAGAGATCTGAATTAGTATGTCCGAATTCAGCCTTAGCCAATTTTTAATAATATCAATTACTATTAACGTAAATCGATATTAAATTATCGAGTTTGCCTTAATGAATGCAACCATAAACATATTTATTAAACTAGTTAGTGCACACGTACGTTGCACGTGGTTCATTTTGAGTTGTGATTTTAATTTTAATTTTTTATTTCTATTTTTAGATTTATTATTCAAAATTTGAGGTGTTTAGTATATGTCTATTGATATAATTTTTAAGAAAGACAAAAACGAAAACGGAAAAAAAATCAATAGAAAAATATTAGCTCATAGTGATATTTTAGCCCTTTCATGTACAACTTTACTATTCACTCCAAAAAATACTTGATGCATTCAACAAACCGCATTTCTATTTTAACAATTCAATTTCTTACATGAATATTCCAAACTCTTATGGAATACTAAAAGGTATTTTATTCTATATTTATTGGCTTTCTATTATAGCATCCAAGTAACATGATGGCTTACTAAATTAACGATGACATCATTTCAGATGTGGTGATTTGCAAGACTAAGAAATCTCAACTCTTGCGAAATTTAATATTCATCCATGTATGCATAGATGACTTTCCATTAGTGCAAATTTTAAGTTCTTTACTTGATTAAAAAAAATAAGTTTAGATTGTGACAAAAATGGTCCAATTTGAGATTCCATTTTTTTTTTTTCCGGTCAATGAGATTTCATACTGTATAAGATTAATCTAGGTTGCTCATAAAGTAAGATCGACCTATTTTCTTCTGATTGGATGTCTATAGCTTCATTTGACATTATATCAAACAATTTCTCCCATGAACAAAAAGCATATGAAGCATTAAACAAACAATTTTAAAGTTATAAAGTTGCATATAAAAAGAGGATATCACTCTTCCATGTCATAGACATCCTCAGATGATCAAAGCAAATGGAGAATCAATCCTCATCCACCTCCGAACCAAGGCTACCAATCAATGGTGAGATGCATCCAGAGGATTTGCCTGAATACAAAGTGCAACACTCTTTAGATGTTTTGTCTGCCCGATATTACACTATCAATAAAATCCAACAAGCTCATACCAATGTAATCAACACAATACGAAGCACTAATATAGGCAACACAATATTCTACAAAAGCCCTCATTAGAACCAAACCCAAACACAAGAAAACCACTTGAAAAGACAAAAAATAATTAAATAACATTTTAGAAATATAAGTCAACATCATACATCC